CTACTTATCTATATAATCTCATGGCGTTTTAACAATTTTTATTACTTTTTTCAATTATCTTAGTTCTCAATTACGTATTGATTATGAGTTAAGCAGAGAGAATTTATTACGGATTAAGTTTTTATAGTAAATTATATATTGGATTTTTAATCCCATTGACTGATTCTAGATTTTACATCACCTTTGTTTGGAATATTTAGTTGGTTTAATATTAAGATATAAAAAAAATGTGTAGATAAGGATTGTAATTTGATTCAAGTAATTGTATCAAATCTTTGATATCTTGTTATAGGTCTCTTTTTTGTCCTTTTGTTAAGCATTAACTTTTATTTGAGATTAATTAAGTTTATTTTTAGTTTTCAAGATGAATGATAATAATGAAAAATTTTCAGCAATAAAAAATTTTATGAGTATAGTCCTACTTGAACATATAGAAATTTTGTAAATGTGAAAGATACAAAATATGTTGTAAATATAAAACTTTTGGCTGGATGGTCAAATGCTTTATAAATCATATAGAAGACTGTATTAGTTTTTAAAATATGATGTTTTTGAATTAATTTTTATTTATTTTTGTTAATATAGGATAAAAAAAATGAATGTTCTAGTCAATAGAGACTTTAGATAATGTGTAATGTCCGTTCTTTAGTGATCATGTACTTTCGAAGGTCAAAGTTGATGATAGTCGTAATCGAGTGTGTTGCACAAAATTTTTTATGGATTCCAGTAAATATGTTCTTTATTTTCTCATTCTAAAAGTGATTAATTATTCATTATATACAATGATACAAAATAGATTTACAATTGGAGAGTTATATAACTTTTTTAGATTTATTTCTCATATAATAAATTTGTAGGTAATAGTGTTTTTCAATATATTTGTTATAAATACGAATTAATTAGTTAGTAATTAACTAAATAATATTTTCTATAGGCTCTCACGGTGATGTTGAAAGTTGTGAAATTGTAATTTTTTTAAGAAATGATTTATTATTCTTCTGATAATTTTACTTGAGTTTTAAGATAATTTTGATGAAAGTGATGATTTCGTGTCAATATATGTAAAAGTATATTGAAAATTATTAGTTATAGAGTTGAGATTTTAAATTTTAAGCTACGAGCTAAAGTTTTACATTAAGCACCAGATACTCTTAGTTTTTAATAAAAAAAATATATTTTTTATATTCAAATGTAATAAATTAACTTAAGAATATTTATTATGAATGAATATAAATCTTATAAAATTTGTGTACTTTACTTATATTTGCAATTTTGTATTGACAGTAATTTGCATTATTGATATTATATTTATAATTTTATTAGCAATATAAATATAATATATAAATTTTGGATAATTTAATTAATAGTATAAATATAATACAATACATAAATTTTGGACAATGAAGAGCAGGTACAAGATAATTCAAAATTAAACCATGATATATAATATTATATATATATATATATATCCTGTAGCATACAAATATGATGCTTAGATTATAAGCAATGAGTTAAGATGCTGTGATTTACATGATTTAATCTGGACCAATCAACTCTCCTCAATCTTGATACAAGCCTTTGCAAAGAATTATAATAAACATTTTCACCAAATCCACGAATATAATTCCTTTACATGTATATATATATATATATATGTATGCATATGTTTAATTTTAAGGCCAATCATTAAGGAATAATTGGTAGAAGGCATATTAACCTAAAAAAAAAAAAGTAGATGACCCCAACATAAAATATTTGTTTCTGCCTCTTTTTATGAAAAGCGACCAATTTTGGTCCCTTACCTAAACACCCTCCTCTCTCTCTCTCTCTCTCTCTCTCTCTATATATATATATATATAATATATATACATGATAGATAAACACATATATAAATGTGTGAAAGCATTTATCAATAATGCTTATTGTAGTGAAAAAAAAAAAACGCTTGGTTATAATTGACGTAAATAACATATATTTGATTAGACAAAAAATAAAGTAATTATATATGTTATTAAAGTGGGGATAGATTTATGAAGGTCAGCTTCCCTAATTAGTAAATATATATATATATATATATTAATCGAAAGAAATAAAGAGAAGAAATCTTAAAGAAGGCATGGGATTTAGGTGATGACAGGGAATGGATGTTGACCCATCAACAAAGGGGATAATACCAAATAAATCCATTGTCAATTAAATTATACAAGTGGATTTTGCTTCTTTACTATCTATTATTATAATCTTTTTTGTATTAACCATAAACTTACAATTAGTATATTTATATATATATATATATATATGTTGAGCCCTCCACCCTAAATCATACCCTTTTGAGTTCATGAGCTTCTTTCTATATGCTATGCTTTTGCTCTCGTATTATCATGAATTCCCATATGGTCTTTTACATAAGTTTGAGTTACATTTTGGTCATTTGGATCTCTTGCAATTTAGTTTAAGTTGCTCCCCCCCTCCCCCCCTTTTACTTGTATCTTCAAAAGAAACTCTTGGACACTTTTAAATATGAATTTGGAATGACAAAATGTAAATATCAATTTGGTCATTTATTTAATTATCAGAAGATATGACTTTTCACCATAAAAATTAAAAAATTAAGAAAAGGAACTCCCATTTTGTGTCTTTTCTCTTTTGGCTTCTCTTTTATGACACAAAACCTTGTCTCATCTAAAGCTTTTTAATGGGTGAATATAATTTTCTTTGTGCAATAAGTAGTTTGAGCCTGCAGAGGTCTTCCCCAAAAGAACCAATCAGAAAAAACAGGCGGTTATAAAGGCAGAGAGAGAGAGAGTGGAGTGGGAGTCAGTAGTGATTCTAGTGGCTTCTTTTTCATCTGCATTTTTTTAGAATATAATCAGAGGACAGGACCCAATGGTGGGAGCCTGAGACAGGTCTGCCATCGAGGACAAGATTTTCTGAGTTCGAAAAAATGGTGACAGTAAGTTTTACTACATACGAAGAAGGAAGAAGAGGGTTGTGGTGAAATAAGTAAGGTTCCTTCACATAGAAGCAGAAAAAGTAGATAGAGACACCCATGAAAGATCAAATCTTTTTCTACCCAAAAAAAAAAAAGATTAGATATATAATAAGTGTGTGTGTGTATATATATATATATATATACCTGAGAAAAAGACTGGAGCTTATTTCTTTCCTATTTACTTTACATACATACTTTGACAAGAAAGCTTTGATCTCTTGTCTCTCTCTCTATCTTTTTCTGCTGGGTTGAGTTTTGCTGCAAATTAAACAGGACTCTTTCAAAGAATTATACTTAACATCAAAAGCAAAGGTAAGTAAACTTTGAAAAGAGCTTGTATTTGGTTTTGTCTTTTCATTTTCCATGAAACTTGACTGGTTTTTATAATTTGTGTATTGAAGATGAAAGTTGTTTAAAGGAAGTTTCTTGTATGGCGAACCACAGAATTGGAGAAACGGGTTTATCAGACTCACCACCTTCAAACCATCATCATCATCATGTCTCTTATGTTGTTCATGGAATCAATAACAACCCCGCAAGCTTCATGTAATATTCCATTATTTATGTATACATAAATATCCGAACTTGAGTGATTATATTACATGGGTTTGCAGAAATGTTAATTTATGCTGATGGATTTTTGTTTTTTTGTGTTAATTAGCAATCAAGAAGGGTCTGCTTTTGATTTTGGAGAGTTGGAAGAAGCAATTGTTCTGCAAGGAGTTAAGCTTAGTAATGATGAAGGCAAAGGCATGTAGGCCTTGTTTTTCTTTTTCAAAAAAATCTCTTCCTGCTTTTGTGACGTTTGAATATGTATAGAGTAGGATATACTACATATATATGTATATATATACATGCCATTTCCAGCAGAGTAATGATGCTGAAGGAAGAGAGTTGAAAGGCGTGAGGATACAAAGTTAGAAAAACCTACTACTTACTCCATAACCGCACAGAAGAATTACCTTTTTGATGCTATATTGTGTAGTATTATATTGGGTTTGGTTCCCTGAAAAATCTTTGAGTGTTTATATGGAAGATTTTTATTTGCAGCTTTATTTACAGAAGCCAGACCTGCAGCTACTCTGGAGATGTTCCCTTCTTGGCCAATCAGATTCCACCACACCCCAAGAGTAGTTTCTTCCCTCTTTGACCATCTTTCTTTTGGGTTTAACTTAATAACATACATATATATATATCTATAAACATGAGATTGATATAACTAAAAGTGGTTTTAATGTTGCAGGGAAGTTCAAAATCAGGAGGAGAGAGCACAGAAGAGTCTGGATCAGGATTGAACAGTGTCTCTGAAGCACAGCTAGACCTAGAATCTCCTATAACTATTAAGCCTTCTTCTTCTTCTTCTTCTTCACATCATCATCATCACCTGCAAGTAGATATGGCAAATGATGCCTCAACACCAGGTTCATCAAACAATCAAACGCCTCCAAAACCAACCCAAGACAAGGTCTATCTATCTCATCCTTAACTTCTTTCTTACCCATTATTTCACACCTGTCTATGTATATATATGTATATATATCGTCTTCAACTCTCTGCAAATCCTAAAAGAACACAAATCCCAACAACCCACATGAAAGAAAACCCAAAGACAAGAAATTGAATTTCCTTCTGATTTCTGACATGAAATATGTGTAACTGTAACCAAAGACATACACTCTAAATTTATACTAAATTTTAATTCTAATAAATCATTTCGTATCATCTTTTATGTTATATATCTACATATTGAAAGTAGGAATGATGATCAACAAAAACCAGTCTCCTTCTAAACCTCTGAACACTATGAAAACAAAAGTCAATTAGAGAAAATATTATATAGAAATAATTATACCACACACAAAATAACATTAAAATATCCAAAATAATTGTGCTAAAAAATATTTTGATGGGTCAGTTTCCTCCTGTTTTCTTGTTTTTGTTTAATATTTATTTTCTTCTGTATATATAAATATTATATATCTGGCTTTTCAGCCACCGAACCAATGCTTTAATTCCTTCTTCTACTCACCAAATTCTTGTCTATTTATGCGATCATTTTCCCTTAGCCAACCACTACTAATTCTTTTATTTTTTTCTTTTTCTTAATTATATATGTTTTGAATTGTGCAGAGAAAGGTTTCAAGTTCAGACAAGCAACTTGACGCCAAGGTATTAATTAAAACAAACCCCATATGTATACATGCACTCATCTATATATCTATTATGTGTGTATACATATACATATATATATTTATATATGTACCTTAATATATTTAGACGTTGAGACGTTTAGCTCAAAATAGAGAAGCTGCCAGGAAAAGCCGTCTAAGGAAAAAGGTATGAATATGCCTCTGTGTTTATGTTTATATATGTATGTATATACATGTAGGAGATGATGATAATTTAAAGGTTTTGTATATATATGTTTAAACAGGCGTACGTGCAGCAGCTAGAATCAAGTAGGATAAAGCTTACACAGCTAGAGCAAGATCTTCAACGAGCACGGTCTCAGGTTTATTTTACAAATTTTTTTTAAAATTAATAATTTAATTTAATGAGAAAAAAAAAATAATAATAATAATAATTTTGGTTGTTGTGTGAAAGGGTCTGTTCTTGGTTGGGTGTGGCGGTGGAGGAGGAAATATAAGCCCTGGTATGTATGTAAAATTAATTTTAGTTTAAAAAATTATTTAATTTATTAATGTAAAACTAATTTCAAATGATTCACTAATTGATATTTTGGCCCCTTCTATCTAAATTATTTCATTTGTTAATAGAATTAAGAAAATTAAAAATAAATTGATAAATATTAGATTTTATGAAGAATTTAATTAAAATAAAAAAATAGATGAAACAAGAGAGATTTTTTTATATCGATAAAATATTAGAGAAAAAATAAGAATCATGGGGAAGCTTAGAAAGAGAGAACTCAGAATTAATTACATTGAAAATTAATTTATATTCTAATATGTAGGAGGTGCAATATTTGATATGGAGTATGGGAGATGGGTTGAGGACGATGAACGACACATATCGGAATTGAGAAGGGGATTGCAAGCACATTTATCAGACAAGGATCTCGGAGTAATGGTAGACGGATACATTTCACATTATGATGAGATATTCCGACTGCGAGGGATCGCTGCAAAATCAGATGTATTTCACCTCATTACAGGAATGTGGACAACTCCTGCAGAGCGTTGCTTTATATGGATGGGAGGGTTTAGACCCTCCGACCTAATCAAGGTTAAACTTATATTATTTACTTTTTATCTTTAAATTAATATTCAAGTTATCTAATACATACATACATACATACATCTAACTATAACTATAACTATATATGTACATATCAGATGCTAATATCCCAACTAGACCCCTTAACCGAACAACAAGTTATGGGGATATACAGTCTGCAGCATTCATCACAGCAGGCAGAAGAAGCTTTGTATCAAGGTTTGGAACAACTCCAACAATCTCTTATGGACACCATTGCCGGTGGCCCCCTGGTCGACGGAATGCAACAAATGGCGGTTGCGTTGGCCAAGATTTCCAATCTTGAAGGTTTTGTTCGTCAGGTAAATTAATGTATATGATTAGAATAAGTAAGTAAATATGAATCCAATTAAATAAGACAGACTGTGATAATTATATATAATTAATATTTGGTTAATTATTATAGGCTGATAACTTGAGACAACAAACCCTTCATCAGTTACGTCGAATACTCACAGTTCGACAAGCCGCACGTTGTTTTTTAGTAATCGCCGAGTACTACGCCAGGTTAAGAGCACTCAGTTCCCTTTGGGCTACTCGTCCAAGAGAGTAAGATTTTTAAATTTTACTGTTTTATTTTATTTATTTATTTTTAATTTTACACTTTAATATTTTTCATTAGTTTTTTAAATATTGAAACCAATATTATTATACTAACTGATTAATCATTCAATTATAAATCTTTAAATTAATTGAAATAAATTACATGCATGAATTTTGAGAAAAAAAAAAAAAAATTGAATAACAAACTGTAATTTATCCATAATATTCTTCTACACATCAACCAAATATATATATATATGTATATATTGTGGTTGTGTATGTATGGCCAAATGCAATTTTATATATGCTTTCTTGGATTATATGAGCAGGAGCTTGATGGGAGAAGATAATTCATACCAAACAACCACAGATTTACAGATGCCTCAACCTTCACACAATCATTTCCCAAGCTTCTAATTTCTGTGTATTTTGATGCTTTTTTAGGAAACTCAGGATTTTTTTTTTCTTCTTTCTGTTAATTAGCTTCATGGCTTTTCAAGTATTCTTATGTTTATATTCATATATATATATATATATATATATACACACACGTTATCATCATGTAAATGCAAATTAATTTAAAGTGCAAGAGGAGAGATATGTTTAAGAAAATTAATTAAGAGAAATAGGATTCAAAACTTTGAGGAACACATATTTATATTTCCACTTGTACATTCATGAATTTAGTTATTTGTATAATTCCAATATTCAGTCAAAGTTTTATACGGTACGTTAGATAAACAATAGTCTTATGATTTGCTAATTCATATGAATAAAGTCAACCAAGAATGTATCTAATAATAGGACTTTGAAAAGCCAGATAAAAGTAATAACATGTAAAACAAAATTTCATTATGATTTATTAACTTATTGCAATATATACATATATATATATATATAGTTATATTAGAACACTACAACATATACTTCCATGTATATTTTAGTAACTAAAAAAATTTAGTAGAATTTCATTGCAGAGTAATTTTTAGTAAAATTAACCAACATTTTAATACTATAATATTTTTTGTAAAATTTTTAATCATTTTAACATAAATAAAGATAATATTGAGTTAAATATATAAAATATTCTATTAATTGAGAGAATTTCATGTCATATCTTATATTCTCGGTTGGTGGTTGAAATAGTTGACAGTGATCAAATATTTATTAGGAATCAATGAGGTACCTATACATGAATCATATTTCATTCTTTAGCACAAAATATGATTTATTTATTTATTTTTTTCTCTGAATCAAACACAACATGTAAAATTATTATTTTATAGAATGAATGGTTCATTCATTGCATGCATATAATTGATATTGAAATGTGTTGGTTCAAATTATAAGACAACCTAATTAAGTTTTTTAAAAATTTAAACATTTTAAATAGTTATTCAACTTTCTTTATATGCAATATTTTTCCTCAAAGTAGAACAATTCTCTTGTGTATACTTTTACTAAATAATGCATGTACAATATATGAATAACAGTTAAAATCTCATTTTTCAATTAAATCCTTAGAAGTAATTATGATAGAATGAGTTAATGATAATAAGGAGCTTAGCTTTATAAATAAATCTCCAAGTATGTAAATGAAGTATGAGCTAGAATGAGATATCAAACAATTACAAAGTAATAAATTAAAGATAAACTAAGAAAGAGAGAATGGAAGAAAATGTAAACTCATATATAGAAGTTTGACTATACCACTTGTGTCTGCGTTCTCTTTCTCAATCTAACCACTTGAGATTCTACTACTTTGTTCAGCTTTTTATGATGCACTAGTCTTCTTTGGTGCTTATAAGAATCCCTGTAGCACAAATTCTAACTCATGCCTAAGACACAACTCAAGCTCACATGGGAGGTTACATAAGCTCAAAAACTCATTGTCTTAAAAGGAATTATGGTTATATAAGTTTAAGGCCTCACGGACTTAAAGGAAACTATGGTTACATGAGCTTAAAAGGTTATGGTCTTGTTAAAGAAGAAAAAAGCCTAACTCAACATGTAACTCACAGCCATATGGGAGCTTATATGGAAGCTCATTACCCCATGAGGAATTATATGGAAGCTCACGACTTAATGGGAGGATATAATGAAGCACACGACTTCATGGAAAGATCCAAGGAAGCTCACAGCCTTATCAACTTTAAAGGTTATGGTTTAGTCCTCATGAATGAAGAGAGACACGATCAAGTCTATTCCAAAGGAGATCCTCATAGCAAGCTCCATGTAAGTGGGCATTAAGACCCAATCTAAGGCGGCTCGGACCATCCAAGCTTAGGAGGTCACAGGATGGGCTGTCATAATAAAGAACAAGGTGGTTTAGGCTACGAACAACACCCAAATAGAAGCAAACAAAGCTTGGACACATCACATGATGGATATGAGTGACATGGAATGAGTATCTTAATATCAATTAGACTAAGCTCAAGAACATTAGCTAATAAACTCAAGAAAGATTTTCAAGTATATGTCAAGAGATGGATCCATGAAGAAGAAAGTCTTGAGCCAAAATTTGAAGGCCTTATTAGAGGAAGATCAAGCCGTTAAGGTCTTTAGGAGGAGCCACCATTAGTTTGTCCGACAACAAAGGAAAAAATCAGTCAATAAAGAGTCTTTAAGTTAGTGGATTCTTAGGTATCTAAATCTCTACAAATATAGGAAGCCAATCAAGAGTTTCCTCAATGTCCAACTCATCCTAACCAAGCCAAAAGGTTTCTTCAAGTCTAAGGATATCTTGGATTTCACATGGAAAAATCTTATCCCATATGTGAGGGATTTTCCCCCACAAGAGAATTTTTCCTCTCCATTTCCTCCCAAACGACAACCAAATGAGGCCACAAAATCTTACTATCTTGGGAATCAATCAAGGTAGAGGCCGACTATATCTTTTCGAGTTGCCTAACCAAGATTCTTCTTTCCAAAGAGACATATTAAACATGGGAAAAAAATCAAGAGCACATACTCCACAAGATCATGGATGGATTCACTTTATTTCCCAAGATTTTGGATAGATTTACCTCAAATTCCTAAGCAAACAGCATTTATTCTCCTACTCTAAGCATGATTAAATCTCATTAACTAAAAAAGTCCTCATTTTCTTATTTCAATCAAGAAGATCTTCATTAAGTCAAGAATCTCGTCGTGGGTGGCCATATCTCTATTAATTATTTTTTACTTTCTTATATATAATTTATTACATTTTTGGATTCCTAATAAAACATTAGAGATATTCTAAGAGTTCATTTTCTATTATAATCTATTGGCTTAAATCTGCAAATAGGCCTCTTGCAAACATTTGTAATCATTCTCGATTCAAGTTTCAAGAAATAAAATACAAAGTTTCCTAACTTGTCAATTTGTGAGGTTTTTTTCAACATTCTCGTTGAGGGAAGAATTGGTTCTACTTATCAAGGTAACTCTTGTGGTATTTTATCAATTCTTATTTTTTTCAATTACTTAGGTCAAATAATCGATTGATTATAGACTATGTAATGTCCCGGGTTTAAGATAATCAAATTTTATTGTTGAAATATAATTATAAAAGATCATAATTATTAAGAAATGTGGAAAATAAGCAAGAGAAAATTCATTTGGGACTCTTTTGGAACAAATTTTAAAAGTTAGGGTCATTATATAATTTAAATAGGACCTATTTAAAAAGAATTTGGACAAATATGGACCACTTTGCAAATTGAAGGAGGTGAACAACGTGGAAAGCCACATTAGGGGCCCAATGAATCAAAACGCATTGCATGAAAGCCATGTCAGTAGGCACTCCCACGCGAGAACCCATACTAGAGATTCGTGTGCTAAAGGGATCGAATGACCTGTGTTCCTTCTCGTTCACACGTATGGCCAGATCGAGCTCCCGCCCAAATTTGAATGCACAGCCATGATCTATCGTGTGGTGATCTAACAACTAAATGATAAACGGATAATATCCATTCTTTCACGATCCAACGGCTCTCCTCGCGCCATGTTCCTTCGAACAAACGGTTAGGATCCTCTGAAAAAGGGTATTTAAAACCCTCATATATAAGCTCCCAAACCTTAGTCAGCAAAGAGGAGAGAAAAAGGGAAGAGATTTGACATCGAGAAAGGGAAACAGACAGCAAATCATGGTGGCATTGTTGTGCCGGAGACTCGAATCGATGCCGATAAGCTCGATTTTCCCTCCTTTCTTCGCCAAATCCTTTCCTTTAATGTGTTAAATTAATTTAACCCATGGTTTTGCTATAAACAAAAAAAAACTGATAGAAAAGGCTCTGATAACACTCAGTAGTGAGAGGTGGAGCTCTAATTTCCACTTCGAGGTAAGAATACCTCAATCCCTTCCTATGTGACTGTTTAATCGAAATTTAATCAATAATAAAAGCAATCTAAATGACCTTGTTGATTATTTGATTATTAAATGTAGGTTGACAATGGAGCAAATTAGTTTTGATTTCATTCTTGTTAACCTGTCCATTTTTAGTTTTATTTTTATTTCCATTTTTATTTTTATTTTTATTTTTATTTTTATTTAATTTATTTATTTTTTTATTTTTATTTTGTTTATGTTCTATAAAAATCGATATGCTAATCATATATACTGAATTATTTCAATGTATGAATCGTAAATGCATGTGCTAATGATTGCAATGGTGTGGGCATAACTGTGTGTTTGCGTGTGTTGCAGGTTGGTTGTGCGAATGGAGACATAAATCAATGATGTAATTTGGATATGAATCTTTTTTTATTAAATACAAATCTTATTTTTTGAGTAGAAAAGAAAAATGTAATCTCAAGAATGTTTGGGTTATTGAAGTTGAATAAATTAAAGATGTGATATTAATGGAAATGATTTTAAGAAATGAAAATATTTACGAGATATCATGAGAAAAATGATATGTACTTGTTACACAGGATGAGCCTACAGTGGATATGTCCTCAATCGTACAGGACTGAGAAGTCCCATACCAAGCGAGGTTGGAAAGTAGTTTAAAGGCACTCATACTAGACGAGGTATGGAGATTACCAGACGGGGTATGGGGATGACCTATGATTATAAAGGAAATGTTGTGTATCCACGTGTAGCGGAGATCCCTATGGGGTCCCAATGATACCAGTAAGGGAAACGACACTGTGTGATGGAAATAGAAATGATAAGCAACCTTAGTTGATAGTGAAATGATAAGGAACCCTAGAATCCATATTTTATCTAAATTGTGTATTTTGTTGTGTTATGATGATATCTTGATACTATGTGTACAGGTGTTTGAATAGAAATGATTTCCATAAAAGGAAAAAGATACACTAATATTCAATTTTCATCAAAAGTAAATACTCTATTGGTTGTTTTATCATTTTCTACAACACTTTAATTACTATTATGGTTTTATAATTTTTGGTATTCCTACTGAGCTTGTGTAACTCACCTTATTCCTTATTCAGCAGTTAAGATCA